TACTTACTTACTTACTTACTTACTTACTTACTTACTTACTTACTTACTTACTTACTTACTTACTTACTTACTTACTTACTTACTTACTTACTTACTTACTTACTTACTTACTTACTTACTTACTTACTTACTTACTTACTTACTTACTTACTTACTTACTTACTTACTTACTTACTTACTTACTTACTTACTTACTTACTTACTTACTTACTTACTTACTTACTTACTTACTTACTTACTTACTTACTTACTTACTTACTTACTTACTTACTTACTTACTTAAAAATCTCAAGCTGCAATCTTGTTCCCTCTATGTCATCTGTTATCATTTCCCTTCCACATTGAGTAGCTGAGCCACTATATTTTTTTTCTCTATCTTTTGCTAGACATGTACTTGAAGAATACTTTTTGTTGCTGTCGCTTTTAGCATCTTGCTAACCTCAGCTCATTCTCAGCTTTTGCCTTCCTAACACCATTCCTGCAATTCTTTGCTACTAGTCTGTACTCTTCATTTTTTATTTTCAGGTCCTCTCTGAGCTTTTTGCGAAGCCACACTGGCTTTTATTGCTGTCCTCCACTTTTTTTCCCTTGTTGGAATTGTTTGTAGCTCTGCCTTTAGAATTTCCTTGTTAAGATAATCACACCCATCTTGGACTCCTTTTCCTGTTTGGATCTTCTGCCATGGGACTTTGCTTATCATTGCGCTGAGACTATTAAAATTGGCTCTCCTAAAATCCAACATACACGTGCAGCTATTTTTTTGTTTCCTTTGAAATCCTGAACTCAATTAGAATGTGGCCACTTTTCACCATTGTTCCCTTTACTGCCACTTCCTCTAGTTTCTTCCTCCAGTTTTTGTAGAAAATTATCAGCAACACAAGCCAGGAATTTTTTGGGAGGGCCATATTTGGCAGCATTTGCCTCCCTACAGATATCAGGATAATTGAAATCTCCCATTACTACTACATCATATTTCTTGTTTTTCAAAGGTTTCATCTGTATCTTCTGCTTTATTGAACAATTGTTAGTAGACCTAAGCTATCACATTCCTTTTGTATTTTACCCTAATGGTATTAATCCAGATGCTCTTGATAGGACAACCAAGCTCATCCTTTTGTATTTCTGTGCAGAATGTGTATTTTTGACATATACTGCTAATCCACCTCCCTTTCTACTCTTTCTGTTCTTTTTAAACAATTTATATCCTTCAGTTGCTATACTCCAGTCATGGGAGTTATCACACCAAGCTTCAATTATCTCTATAAAGTCATATTTACCCTCCTGAACTATGATTTCCCATTCTTCCTCTTTGTTTCCCATAGTCCTGGCATTCATATATAGACACTGGATCTTGTGTGATTTGTAGTCTGCTTTCATTTGGACATTTTAATGAAGATTATTATTGGGCCCCATTTAGAATTGCTTGGTCTATTACTCTTATTGTGCATAGTAGACATCCTTCAGTCTCAAGAGACTATGGTAATGAACTCTGAATAGAGGTCATGGAACAGTGTCTAATATGACAGAGAAGGCCAATTCAAGAGTGACAATCCCTTCCACACTAAAGACAAATACAATCTGTCCCCTGTCCAGCTCCCTGATTTTGCGCATTTCAGGACTGCCTCTTTCCCTCAGTCTGCTGGACAAGGGCCTCTTCAAATTGGGAGAAGCCATGCTGCACCCCCTGCCTCCAGGATGAACACTCAGATGTCAAGGTTTCCCATCTGTTGAGGTCCATTCCTAAGGTCCTCAGATCCTGCTTGCAGATATCCTTGTATCGCAACTGTGGTCTCCCTCTGGGGCGATTTCTCTGCACTAATTCTCCATACAGGAGATCCTTTGGAATCCGACCATCAGCCATTCTCACAACATGCCCAAGCCAATGTAGACATCGCTGTTTCAATAATGTATACACACTAAAAATTCCAGCTCGTTCCAGGACTACCCTATTTGGAATTTCGCCCTACCAGGTGATGCCAAAAACATGTCAGAGACAACGCATATGGAGCATGTTCAATTCCTCTCATGCTGTGCACAAAGGATCCTGGGCTCACTTCAGTACAGGGGTATACTCAGAACACAAGCTCTATAGACCTGGATCTTGGTATATGCTGTCATCTTATTACTCTTATTGTGCATAAGCCTTCATCTATCTTAACCTCTGCACTTGGAATTCCCTTTCCCTTCCAATTCAATTTAAAACTACTGATGAAATTCATACTGCTGGCCAACACATTCTTCCCAGTTCTTGTGATGTGTAGCTTATTACCAGCAGTCCATCTTGGAGGAAGAATAATCTATTATCCCAATATCCAGATCCCTCACATTGACTCTGTCTTCATATCCATTTGTTTACCAAGAGTATTTCCCTTTCCCTTTCTATTCCTCTTCTGAGTACTAGTAAGATGTATGAAAAGCCTATCTGGGCCCCAGAATCTTACGTTTCCTTCCCAGAACTTCAAAATCTGATGTGATTTCTTTGTAATTCCTCTTCGCTATGTCATTATTCCCATATTGGTGAAAAGGAAGTGATAGGCATCTGTGGCTTTTCTGAGCAATAGCAATCCTTTTGTCACATCTCTGATCCATCCTCCAGGGACATAGCATACCTGGTGGGCCCATGGATATTCCCAGCATATTTTAGTTTCAGTCCTAAACACTACAGAGTCTCCTACTACAACTACTGTTCACTTCTTTATGTAGGATGTGGGTTCAGTGACTCTGCTTGGCTGAACTTCAGTCTCTCTCACGGTCCTTGTCCAGGGTGTCCTGTATGTTTTCCTCAGCATGTTGTCTGCCAGACTCCTCTTCAAGAATCTGGAAACAGTTTTGCAGTTTCATTGGTGAAGAGTGTTGTCATCTTCTTTTGCCTGTGACTCTTTTCCGTGGTGCTTCATCCACTGTGTTTGTTCTGTCCTCAGCATCCTCCTCCTCTGCTTTGTCTTGCTGTTCTTTCATCCCCAGTGCCTTCCTTGTTCTGTATTAGCATGACCACTCAATGCTCCAGTTCTTTCACTTTTTCTTCCAACAGTGCTACCAGTTTGCACTTGCTGTGTGACTATGCTGTGTTGTTCTCAGGCATGAAGAAAAGCATTGCACACACTTTAAAGGTCACCCTACAGCAGTGTCCCTTCCCTCCATAATCCCTGTTACCTTTTTATTTTCTTATATTTGTCTATGAGAGCCATTTTCTTGTCTTATCTGCCTTGAAGGATGCTGGGAAAGTCCACTAATATATATCAATAATCAGAAACCAAAATGTTGTTAGAGGCATCCCTCATCAAAGTTCTGTTCACTGTCCCTGGAGTCTGTTTCAGTTTTGTTCCTCTGCTGTGCTCTGTTAGGAGTCAGCAAATGGAAAGTAGCATAAGATACAAAGGAATATTCTCTTGCGTTCTGGAATACCACATCCCAGGAGACTGACATATGACCCCTCTAAATGTATATTAGCCTTTGAAATACTAATACAAATATAGAAAACCAAAAGAAAGAGTAAGTTTTTTCCCACTTAAGAGTCATAAGATTCTGTCCATTTTTGTGCCAGCTTCAAGGTGATGGTTATACCCTATAAAGCCCTAAAGAGTTTGGGACCTCAGTACCTGGCAGAAGGCCTACTTCCAACAGGATTTGCCTGTCCTATAAGAACATCTCAAGCAAGCCGGCTGAGGACACTAACCCAGAGAGAGGCCCAGAGGGAAATTATGAAAAACTGGGCCTTCTCGGCTGTTGCTCCTCAGCTGTGGAATAAACTAGTGATTTTTAAAAAATTACTAAAGCCTTGTTATTTAGGCAAGCATTCCAAAATGTAGTACCTGTGGATCCAGCTGAGCCTAGCTAGCCTACCTGATCAAGTCTGCCATTTTAAATGTTTTAAATGTGTTTTGCAAATGTGAGTTTATTCTTTGACTTCATAGTTCATCTGTATTTCATTGTTTTTGTTCCCTGTTAGATGCTTGGAAAATGCTTTGACCTGCCCTTAAATAGTGATTTTTTTTTGAGAGTGACTAGGTATTATTTTTATACTGTTACCCATTACACCCGACGAGTAACTTTATGCCTACCGATTATGTTTCTTGTTACAAAAAGTAAGTTATTTATATGTAACAGTGGCTCTTGGAACTAGTTACTTTTCAAGCTCTGGAATAAGGTCTGGATCAATGGGAATATATGAATGGGAGTAGGGTTAAAGCATATAGAATACTAAGGGCTCTAAATAAACTTCAGAGATGAAACACCTTCACTTGGAATGATTTTGCTTTATAAAAAGGGAGGCTGTTTGCCTCCTAATTCTACTGAGTTGCTTGCATGTACATCCCCAGCAGTCCTGCTTTGACCAAAGAGACAATGCGGAACAGCCCCATCCCCTTGTTCCTTCAGATTAATGTTTCTGACTTTTTTTAAAAAAAGGAGGTAAATGCTAAATTCTGCTGCCTTCTGAGGTGAGATTGACCCAAATGAACTGCACCCTGTTTGTTCTCATCACTGTGGCCGCGGCAGTTTTCTCAGCTGTTGCTCCTTCCTTTGGCTCATCTCCGGCAGGAGAACAGGGCATAGCTTGTTCTAACTTCATTTTCAGACCCCTGGGTTACGGCTTGCTAGCCCTCATACATAGCAAACAAGTGGCAGAGGGTGGAGAGAGCATGAAGGGGGATGTCTAAAGGGAGATGCTGTTCCCTAGCTTATTTTCTGGCACATGGCTTTTTGTCTACAAGCTAGGAGCGTGGCGTGCCTGCACTTCAAAGGCTGGGAAAGGGGAGCACATACTTTCTCAAACAAAATTGCTTCAAAATAAAATGAGATCTGTGTTGTGGATTTTTCTATCGTCTCGCCAGACTTTTTAATCATCAGTGGTGGGCACGGAAGAGAACAGCCTGTGGGCATAGCAGTCTTCCTTGCTTCTGCACAATGTGAGGCCTAAAGGCAATCAATCTCATTCAAATCCCTGGATTGTTGGCGTTCTTTATTTTTTCACCGTCTCACTTTCCTTTTCTTCTGTCCAGGTAAACAACAATGGAATAATTTCCTTCTTGAAAGAGGTATCCCAGTTTACGCCAGTGGCTTTCCCCATCTCCAATGACCGACGTGTGGTAGCAGCTTTCTGGGCTGACGTGGATAACCGGCGTGCCGGGCAAGTGTATTACCGGGAAACAAAGGACCAGGCAGTCTTGGAGAGGGCCACCAAAGACATCTGGCAATATTTCCCAGAATTCCCAGACTTCTCAGCTAAATGGGTATTTGTAGCTACTTGGTATCAGGTCACCTTCTTTGGAGGAAACTCAATATCTCCAGTAAGTAGTCATGCCGGGGTGTTAACATTATGCTGGGCACAGAGTAAGAGGAATGTGCAGACAAACGAGTCCCCTCTGGATGTTTGGGATTATAGTTCCATCAATTCCCAGCCAGCATTGCCAGTGATCTGGGACTTTAGAGGTTCTCATCAAAATGCTAGCAAATGCCTTGTGAAGTATTATATTTTATGTTCTGTGGTTGAGTTTAATCAAACTACAAAGATGATGCAGCTCTCCCTCCATTAATTTTAACCATTAATGTGCCACTTCTTGTTGTGTTGCATGATGGATTGAAGGACAAAATGCAAAACAATTATAGTTTAAAAAAAGTATTAGTTGAGAAATCCTGAAACTACAAAGGAGAAAACCTTAATAGCTTATGAAGTAGCCCAGACCCAGAAAAGAGCACATTGGTTCAAGTATTTGAAGCCCAGATGCCTTTTCTGGAAACCAGTGGCCTTGCTTAAAATTCCAGGGATAGCAACCATCTCCTCAGCAGTTGAGGTCTGTAAAATGCAGATCCAGAGATCTCAAAAGAGTTAACGAAGCACTGATGCAGCCTTTCCAGAAAGAAAAAAACATTTTGTTTTTATAATCAATCCTATAGTTTCTTGTGACATTCGTTTTGGCTTTCTTTTGTGTGATGTTGCTGTTGTTGTTGTTGTTTTTATTGTTGTTGTTCTAGGTGAATACCTTCCAGATAGTCCTCATCACAGATCTGTTGTTGTTGTTGTTGTTCTAGGTAAATACCTTCCAGATAGTCCTCATCACAGATGGCATGCTTTCTTTCACTATCTTCAACTATGAGTCTATTGCCTGGACCACTGGCATGCATGCCAGCAGCGGGGGAGATTCGGCAGGCCTGGGAGGCATTGCGGCCCAGGTAGACTCCATGGTCACACATTGCAAGCAAGTCTTCTTTCTAATACATGACATGCTTTCTTCCAGAAAATAATACCCTTTTTGATTATTATAGTTGGTCAAAATCACAGAATAGCGAGGTGACCCTTCCTTAGTTCTAGCATCTTAAATGTGTATTCACTGCATTTCCTAAAAGCAAATACCATATAGGGGGTTTGTTATAGTGCAGTGGTTCCCAATTTCGAGTCCCCAGATGTTTAAAAGCAAATACCATATAGGGGTAGTGGTTCCCAATTTCGAGTCCCCAGATGTGCTTGGACTACAACTCCCAGAAATCCTGGTTAGCAGACCTGGTGGTGAAGGCTTCTGGGAGTTGCAGTCCAAGTACTTATGGGTTACCCAAGATTAGGAACCACTGCAACCACTCCTCTTCACACTATCCACTGCCTTTGAGTTTTTTCTTTTTCTAGCCTCAGACTTTTAAAATGAGCCATCCTGCACCAAGTTTTCCCTTAGTGTTTTTATTTTAACTCAATGTGTTATTTTCTTTCTTTTAACCAGTAGCTGTTCAGATGTGTGTGTTTTTCCCCGCTAATTGACCTGTGCTTGGCTGGCGGCTGGCTCTTATCTGAGTGCCTCCTGTAAGCAAGAAATTGCAGGTGTAAGGGAAACAGACACATTTTTCAGTCCCAGAAATTCAGAAGTGCAGATTTTTATGACTGTAAACAGAGCGGCAACCACATGCTTTGGATACTATACAATACTGCAGGAACACCCTGCCCCAGTCCCGCCAAAGAGAGGGAGGGAGAGAGTGAGGAAGTTGAAAAGTTTTTCACCAGGCATTGGCTTGCAACCAAGTTTTGTGAGAACGTGCTGCTGTAACTCTCACAAGGCAATGGAGTGGCTCGGCACGAGCACCTCACGGCTCAGCATGGCAAGGGCTGCTGCTTGGCTTGAGCTTGCAAAGCTGTGCTCGTTTCACGGAAAAGAGCAAAAGAGTGTCCAAGATTCTCTTGGATTCACCCTGTGCAGATGAATGGGGATGAAAATAGGCTCAGCATTCTGTGTTCTTTCCAGCAAGTGAGTCATGGATCTTGTGGGGATTGCTGAAACTTCGTGGTGCCAAGAGTCATTTGGGAGAAGGATTGCAATAAGGAGACCATCTGATCTCCCTCTGTTGCTCTCCCTCGCCCCACTCCGCCCCTTTAATGCTGACAGTTTAGTGTGGGTCACAGCCAAGGTCTTTAATCACAGAGAATATGCAAAACAGCATGAGATGCTTTTGAGGATGCTGAACCGCTCAATTTTTGCTTATGCATTTAAAACAGTGGAGACCGGGCCTTACCAAAGTTGGGGATCTGGGAAGTAGGGAATGCTTTCCTTAAAGCAGTCTTGAAATAAACCTCCAAAAATTAGTAGCCCACAGAAATGTGTACTAGCTTCCAGCCAATATTTCTCATTTTTGGCCTTACACAAGTAAAGAACCAGTTTCTGCCAAGCTTCCTTATGTGGTCAGAGACAGATTTCTCCATACCGAGGCAGATGACTACATACAAGGCTGTGCAAGGAAGCTGAAATCAGAACAAGGCTTCAACACATTATCTTGTGAACTGTAGCTCCCAGAATACCCCAGATGGCATGGTCAATGGGTGTGCTGACGAGGGGTTCTGAGAGTTCTGCTCCAAAAATGCCTGTTCTAAGCTCTCAGTATAAAGTATTTACTACATGTTATCCTCTTTTCCAGTAGACATCAAGGCAATATAAATAGGGTTCCCAGGATGTCTACCTTCTGCATAATAACCAAATGCAGAATCTGCAGCTTTGCTACACTTTATGCCCTTAGGTTGTAGACCTGGGCCCTGAAGATCAGAGGATAAGTCAGGAATTTATCCATGTAGAACCTCCAGTAGAGCAAAGTGGAACCATCTCATGGTGCAACTACATTGCAATGTTCTCCTCCAATTAGTCTGGGTTTAGCACAATGCAAACAAATTAAAAACATCCCAACTACATGAGGTTATTATAAGTGTGGGCGAGTCTCACACTTTTCTTAAAGGTATCTTTTTAAAAAAAAACAACCTTCATTCTACATTGCACTGTTCTTTTACCTGTTTTTGATTGTGTGAATGGCCATGTCATTGTATTCCTTCTGCGGGGGAGTTCCCTGTGCTGAAATCTTGGTGATATGTTTGAAATAGTGTGGGATCCTGTCCCAATCGAAAAATCAGCAGTTACGCCTGCTGTCTGAACTGTTTCCTTTTTTAATCTTTTTTTTAACCATTTGTCTTTAGTGCTGCATCACAGAGGCACTGGAATCTTTCCATCTCTAGCATTGATGCAGTGCTATGCTGCTTAGAACTAAGGGGGGGAGAAACTGACTCCAGACAAAAAGGTTATGGACAAGGACAGAATGCAGGCAGGGTTGTGACAACCCATTGGTGGATCAAAGTGACAATCCTGAGTCTATTTAGAGCCATTTAAAGAGCAATGTAGTCCCCTGCACCAAATCAGCCCAGTTTGATTGAGACTGCCCCATGAAGACAGGGCAAGTGACATAAAGAGCACATGACATGAATCAATAAATAATACTCCAACACAACTGTAAGATTATTTGGACAATGTAGTCGCCTCCTTAGTTTCATGCTGAAAACTCCTGCCTCTCATCAAAGATGGGAAGAGCTGTTGTGATGGAGGGGCTGCACCTTCTCCTGTGCATAGCGGTAGCCTTTCTAGTGAGAAACAGTTGTGCAGTTAACATCGGGAAACACACAGGGAAATCCAATGCTTCCCTTCCTTATGTTCTTGCAGTCCATTCCTCCTCAGGGCACTGGGGCATGGTAGAAGAGAGAAGTCCCTTGGTTTCACTCTCTGCCCTTGTCTTCCTAGGCAGGTTTCAATGCCGGTGATGGAAAACGGTATTTTAACATCCCCGGATCCCGCACTGATGACATTGTCGACGTGGAGATGACGACAAATGTGGGTATCCCCGGGCGCTGGGTGTTCAGAATCGATGATGCCCAGGTGCAAGTGGGGGGCTGCAACAACACAAGTAAGAGGACAGCAGTTAGGTTTACTTAATCAAACCAATTCTTCCAGCCCTTCTCTTTGTCCCTGTGTGGAAATCCCAGTGCTTGTGAAAGGCAGCAACAATGCAGTGGGGATAATTTGCATGTGGCATGTGAACCTGTGAAGACGTTGCTCTTGTGCCATTAATGCAATGCAATATGGGTCTCCAGGGCTACGACTATAGCAAACTTTAAACAGTGGGATAATAATCAGATGAATGGGTTTGATTGATTAGGAAGAACAATAATAGCACAGACCTATCCATGTGCATACCTACTCAGAAGTAAGTCCCACATAGTTCAGTGGGAATTGCTTCCAAGTAAATGTGCATAGGATTGCAATCTATATTTAACTTCTCAGATTTTAAGCAGTGCTCCTGCCAGTTAAGGGCATGCTTGTCTGTTTTATTTTTGAAGCATGTATTACCATTAAGTGGGGTTTTTAAAAGCAAATGTGAAAGACACTCTTTCTTTAAACAGATAAGAAATATAAATTTAAATTGCTTTTGAAAATGCACCATTGTTGAATGTAAAAACAGATTATTAATCCACTAAAAATAAATTCTTTCACTGGCTTACAGCCCAGATTCAAACAGCATCTCCCTCTGCTTGGGGAGCAATTGGTGGAATTCATGGAGAGTTAACTCTGCTTCCACATACTTGTAGTGACTAAAGAATGGAAGATATTTTTAGTTGTACAAGGAAATGTTGCCAGTTGCAACTCTGTCTTCATAGGGTGCACAAAATGGCATTTTACGTTGATCCGATGTCTAAAATTGTATGCTTTTTAAGTGTAATTATTTTTCTCAAACAGGCTATATGTAGTGTGAGATAATGACAGCTCTTAGCTTCTTGCAATTATTCATTTTCCAGCATCAGAACCCACGTCCAGACAAAAACATACACACAGATTTTTATCTGGTCCATGGCTCCTGAAGCTTTGATAAAATCTGTTGTGGTTTTCACCTAACATATTTTCTGATCTGGCCCTCATGGCAACTCTTTGGCTTTTCATTTTGTCCTCATGCATGACCACCGTCACCACATTTTGAGAATTCCAACAGTCCAGTGACTGATTTCTCCCAAACCATTATAGCACGGCTTATCACAGTTCCTTGAAGACATAATTATTTTAAATTCACATGCGCACATACATATTTTTTCCCCAAAAGTGTCATTTTTGAATTTTCTTTGCATTTACCGTGTTCATGGCTCTTGGGTTTCTCAATAAAATACTATAAATATGAACTGAGGGCAATGAGCAAATCTGTACAACATGATGTGACTAGTGGGATACAGAGCTGTCTGAAAATACTGTTTGTATGAACATTATTTGCAGTTTCAATATGGAATAATATTGGTATGGTTTTTAAAAATGCTTTACTTTGCAACAAACTGATCTTATGTCTATAAAACAGATTAATTTGGAATTCATAGTTCTGATGTTCAAAAGGCTGAGAAATCTAATGAAAACACTGGCCTAGACAGAGAAGTGGTGGTAGTGGGAAACCCATTGTCAAAAACAAGTTGGTAACTACCTTCTTACATTGAAAAGAAGGTTTAAGTCAGACTTTGCTATGAAATGTCAGTTCAGTTTAAATGTGGATAGGTTAATTGTAATGCCATGGTTTCTGGCTCAGTCCGAAAGCCCAATGTGTTACTTGAAAAGCAAGTGGGCTGAAGACCATGGGAAGAAATCAAGATGGATCAGTCTAGTATTTTTGTTACCATAATACTTTCTAATTCCTCCTAGTCATGCCATTATGGGTTTACTTCTTTATACAGCTTCAGTTTGTCTGACACTCCGCCCTTGCCTGAATGGAGGAAAGTGTATTGAGGACTGCATCACAGGAAATCCCTCCTACACTTGCTCTTGTCTGGCTGGCTTCACTGGAAAACGATGCCATCTTGGTGAGTCTGGCTCCTCATTTGCTCACAGTCTTATAGGGAGCTGGTTTTGGCAAAGTGATGAAGCATCTGCCTTGCTTGTCAAAGGTTGTTGACCAAGATTCTCATGTATCCTGTTGTATGGATATTGCATGACAGATGTGAGAAGGGTCTCTGCATAGGTTTGTGAGATTCACTGATGGCCAGAATTGGAAATGTAGGAGGCCCATACAATATAAATGAATATTGTATGGCCAGTTCACCTGTTCATGTTTTGCACTAACTCTTTGGAAATTTTATTGGTCATCTTGGCCTCTTACTGCCCACCTCTTAACTATTACACTGTCTTAAATTTCTGAAGAACTGGTGTCCATAAAGACTGCTTATAGGTGCTCATATAATATTAATTATGTGCTGTTCCTGGCTCAGGTGGTGGCGGTAAGGTCCCCTCAGCCACAATAGTTTTAAAGGAAGAATGTTCTGTATTTGCATGCAGTTAACACTTCATGTGAATGATGCATCTATCACAGATGTGCCTTGTTCATTACACATGGCAAAATGCAGAGAGTGTTCTCTTTCTTTGGAGAGATGAATGAAATATACAAATGTACACCACTTCTTATCTTCCTTTTAATCCTCTTCCAGATGTAGATGAGTGTGCTTCCAACCCATGTCGAAACGAAGCCACCTGTATCAATGGTGTTAACAGCTTCCGTTGTCAATGTCCACCAGGATTTAAAGGAACTACTTGTGAAATTGGTAGGAAACACATTGTAATGACAGGCACGGGGAAATTTCATAGCAACTTGAAGGTACAGTGGTGCCTCGCTTGACAATGTTAAATCGTTCCAGCGAAATCGCTGTAGAGTGGAAACATCGTAAAGCAAAATTAAAAAGCCCATTGAAATGCATTGAAACCCGTTCAATGTGTTCCAATCGGCTGAAAACTCACCGTCCAGCGAAGATCCTCCATAGGGGTGGCCATTTTCGGGTGCCTGTATAGAGAAAATTGGCTCCTAAAAACAGCGGGGAGCCATTTTGTACACCTGGCAGCCATTTTGAAACCCGACAATCAGCTGTTTTTAGATCGTCGTAATGCGAAAATCGGTTCCCAAGGCAGGGAACCGATCATCGTGACGTGGATTTTTCCCATTTAGACCATTGTTTTGCGATCGCTTTTGCGATTGCAAAAACCTAATCATCAAGCGATTTCCTTGTTAAGCGAGGCAATTGTTAAGCGAGGCACCACTGCAGTTATAGATGGGCAAAGTGATTGTGGAGGCATACCTGCAATAAAATCTCTTTATTATGATTCTTCCAGTTTTAGGGCTGAACAAGGGATGAGGAAGTATGACCAGTCCTAAAACAGAGCTCAGAGAAGCCTGTTATTTGTACTACAGTTCTCAGATTCACCCAGCTAGCATGATAGCTGGCCATATTGACTTTGAGATTCTTGGAATCATACTCCCAAAAAACTATGCTTTTCAAGCTGTACCCCAGTCTGTGGTATTTTCTGAAAAACACAAGCAACTTAAATACTGCAAATCCAGTTTCTTTTTTTCAATAGATGGAAACACCGATTGAGAGTCTGTGTATTCAGACTATTGTCCACAATAGTATGCACAAACTATTATGCCAATGGTTCCCAATTTTTTCAGTATCACATGCACCCTAATTGATTTCTGAGAACCTTTAATGCCTCCCCATCTCTCCCTTAATTTCACCCAATCTCCTTTTAACACACACACAAAAAGATTTGTAATTTAAACTTAAAATCAATTGCATTTGAAACATCTGAATAGCTCAGTGGTTTCTGGCTGCAGAGCCAGAGGCTCAGAGTTCAGTTCCCTGCTGTGCCTCCTTGACAGAGGATGGACTTCGAGCTCTGCACTTCTAAGATGATGATGATGATGAAATTAATTAAAATTAAATCAAAATAAATGTTGAAAGCTAGTAAAAATATAAACTAATTTGTTGGTGTACAGTATGAAAATTAAACATTATTTTAAAATTGGTTTTTAATCATGAAAGTCTCAGTCTCACACCCTGTCAGGATTTACACTCATGGAGGGAATGGTCACCAGTTTAGGAACCCATCAGTTGTATTATTCATCTAATAGTTGGCCTAAAACCGTATTCCTCCAAAGAGCTATGGCTATGTAATACTCCTCAGCAATTGCCCTCAGAAACCCTTCCAAAAGAACGAGCTGTTTAGATCCTTCCATCTAATTTGGCCATTCTCTAACTGAAGTATTGTTCCTGGAGGGAAATTGAATAAAGTGATTGGTGGGAACTTCATGTATGTTTGGGGGTGGAAATGACACAGTTACCCCCTCTCATATTATGATAATCAGTTTTTTAAAAAAAAGTACAGCATTTTACACTTCAGAATTTCAGTTGTATTTTTTTCAGCCTTGCAAGAGCCATTTGCTACAAATAAAAATATAAACAACAAACTATCTGTAGGAGGTAATTACCATAAATTGACTTGTAGTGCTGCCATTTTTTTTTTATTCTGGACTGTTTGATAATATAAAAAAATTAATACTGCTAATTTGAACTTGTAGTATCAGTCTCTCTCCACAGTAGTCTCAAATGATCTACTGTAATGCTCTTCATATGGGGCTGCCCTTGAAGCTGATAAAGGAACTTCAGCAGGTTCAGAATGCAGTGGCCACGTTAGTTTCTGAGTGAATAAGTTCAATCATATCTCTTTTGTCCTGGCTGCCTGCATTGGTTACCTGTTCCTTTCCATGGCATGTTCAAGGTTTTGGTCTTCACTTATACATCATTTAATGGATTGGAACCTCATTACCTGTCAGAACATCTTTCCTAAAGAACTGCACTTGTTCCACTGGTTCTCCCATGCCTTCTTGTTTTGGGTGGCCACATCAAGAGAGGCGAGGCGAGTTTCCACTAGAAACTGGGCCTTCCCAGTGGTGGCCCTGTCACTTTGGAACAGTCTCCCATTTGAGATCCAGCAGACCTTCAAAAAGTTAGTAAAAACTGAATTGTTTAAATGGGCCTTTAAGGACATTTTCTCCCTTAGATAGTGATTTGACTCATGGCTTAAGTTTCATCTTAGAGAACATTCACCATCATTAAGTTATCAATTTGAGTTTTTTCATTTGTACAGTTTGTTTGTTTGTTCCTCAGTTTTTGGAGGATATGAGTGGGCTTTCAGGGGATGGTTTCTGTTTGTATGAGTGGGGTGGTATAAAAATGTCATCCATCCATCCATCCATCCATCCATAAACAAGTAAATAAACAAATATGGCACGACAGGTGGCATGTCTGTTCAGAGACTGAAATCTGTTATCTGAAACACCAATAGAACAACTGTGGGAGAAGTTTTTAAAATTCTTGTTTGTAGTAATGGAATAGAAACGACTTTGTACTCCAATTTCATCTTCCTTTCTTCCTGGAACATGACAGAGGAGTCTCCATGTGAAACCAAAGAATGCCAGAATGGTGGAGAATGTCAAGCAAGAAACCAAACAGCTGTGTGCCTTTGCCAGCCAGGTTATACTGGAGAAGTTTGTGAGATAGGTAAGCTAGTAGTGAGTATATCTAAAGAAGATGACTAGCCATATGGACCAATGTCTGCAAGTCCACAAACTCTGTTTTTGCTGGTAGAATCATGCCCAACACATACACACTATATGGAAGCTCTACTTTGTTGATTCCCAAGTCTCATCCAGTCATTGTGAGACCCAGGGTGGTACAGTAGATAAAACAGACTAGGACTCAAGAGACTGGGTTCATATCCTTGCTTGGCCATAGAAACTCACTGGGAAATGGCACCAATGGTAAACCATTCCATGAACCTCAAAATAAATAAATAAACACCTCAGCAGTCTTAACTGCCATGAATTAGTTTAATCCCTTGTCAATGCCCTCCAAGATGGCAGTCATCACTACATCCTGTACTAGCAAATTGCATAGTTTAAACTATGCACTATGTGGAACAGTATCTGTTCCATAAGCATGAATGACAACCCTTACAATTTGCATATATTGCTGATGGCTAAGCTTGCAGCCTCATTTCCAAATTTGATCTGTTTGTTGTTGTTTTTCCAGAAATAAATGAATGTGAATCCAGCCCATGCCTCAACGGTGGGCAATGTATAGATCAGGTGGACAATTTCACATGTGTGTGTGCGCCTCCATTCACAGGACAGCGCTGTGAAACAGGTACCTTGATTTAATAACTGTGTGATCCTCTTTACAGAGACAGAGCCTGCCTGCCTGCCTGCCTGCCTTTCTCTATGTGATCTTCTTTACAGAGCCAGAGCCTGCCTGCCTGCCTTTCTCTTTTTCTTTCCCTCTCCTTGTGCTCCCCTAATGCTGTCAGACTGTGTGCTTAGGCCCAATCCTCCTCTTACGTTTCATTATTCATTTACATTGTGCTCCACTGAAGCTCCCTACACTTCTCCATTCTAGATCCTACAGCCTGTGAGGGCAGGAACTGCAGGAATAGGCAGACATGCAACTATATACGCCCTGGACGCTACATCTGCACATGCTCTCCAGGCTACTATGGGAACAACTGTCAATATGGTGAGTCAGATACCTCCCTGACTTTGGATAGGAGAGCATTTTATATGTCAACCCCATTTTGAAGCATATCGACATCATCCTTACTTTATGGACTATTATTTAATTTGGAATATGGTTATACTTCTGATAATATTCCTTCTCTTGCTTCTACAAAGTGCTGCTTGGCTCAAAAGCTCAAAAGTTGTCTAGAAAAATATTTATGTTAAGGAGGGGTTTTTGTAGGAAAATAAGAAAAAATGAGATAGATACATACATAGATATATTTATGTACGTACACATGTATATATGCATGTACAGTGGTGCCTCGCTTAACAATGTTAATTGGTTCCAAAAAAATCAATGTTGTGTGAAACATCGTTCTGTGAAACACCATTTCTCATAGGAATGCATTGAAAACCGGTTAATCTGTTCCAATGGGAATGGATTGTCGTCCTTAAGCGAAAATCCCCATAGGAAACATCGCTAAGTGAAACAATGTTTCCTATATTGGAATGTATTGAAGCCGACTCAATACATTTCAATGCCTTTGCGAAGTCCTTTTTCGCTCCTGTACAAGTGTCTTACAATGTTTGAAACCTGTTTTAAATGGTTGGAATAGTTAGTCCACCTTGTGAAACATGTGCAAACTTAATTTGGTTTTGTTCTGAGTCTTCGTTAATTTTTGGTGATTTTTTGTTTTCCCCATTTAAATCCATTGGACGGACAGTCCAATGGTTTTCAATGAGGGGAAAAAAAAATCAACAAAAATTAATGAAGACTCAGAACAAAGCCAAACTAAGTGTGCATAGGTTTCACAAGGTGGACTAACTATTCCAACCATTTAAAACAGGTTTCAAACATTGTAAGACACTTTTAAATGAGTGAAAACATTGAATGTAGATTGATCTGTACAAGAATTTCAAATTACAGTTCCCAGAACTCCTGCATCACCAATGGCCATGATGACGTCCAAAGCTCTAGTGTGTCTCATCTCACACTGCCCAAAAAAACAACTAATTAACACATCTTTATGATAAATAACATGATATCTAATGGAAACTTCAAAGATCCTCACTATTAGGCCCATGTTGACTGTCATTTCATTTACTCATTTCAACCAGTAACAGGTTTTCTGTGATATTTAGGCTGATTGGCTTCTCTTCTACTGGGGAAGGTCAATATACAATCCCTGGTAAATATGGCAGAAGAGATGGCAGAGGATGGGAAAAACAGTGTGTGATCAGGTCCATGAGGCAGATCCTTCAAATATTGTGGTGCCAAACCCACATGGTATTTATCCCACTTGTGTACCTAAGACCACATAGGTCAAATTGAGCAGGGGGTTGGAACTGATGGCCTTGTAGGCCCCTTCCAACTTCACTTTTCTATGATTTCTATGAAATGCTGAAGCTCATAATTGCATTCCTAATTTATTTGATTTGTGAAGAAAAGCTTGCTGGTATTGGATCAGATTGATCTCATATGTATAGTTTTTAAGTGGTGTGGTTAGGTTCCTTCAGAAAATCCTATAGTAAAATAATTGGAAGGGACTTTGTGGGTTATCCCATAGTATGTACAGTTCTTGAAATGGTTTGTGCAACACCTTCATTAGAGAAACCTGTTCACACTCATTTCTAGTAACAGGCATGTTTTCAATATAGGGCTGTAAAAGTTGCTTCAGGAAATTGTCTGGTTACTTGTGGATCCCGTTCACTCATATAGATATAGGCATGTGTTTCTTTAGGCTCTTCTTAAAGAGATCCTATACCTCTAAACACATAGCTACCTTGTATGAGAAAGGTTATCCTGATATCCTAATTCCTTTCAGCTGAAGTTTGTGACTATTTCCATGTCCATAATAGATAACAAATTAACTTAGTGAACTCCATTCTCCTTCAAGCTAATTTAATTTATTTAGAGACTTTATTAAACTGCGGTCACGTCACAAAAATGTCTCCAAGTGACTCCTCATGAGTTTTGACTCTTTTTGGGGGGTTCAGAAAATGCACAGCCATTACCAATTCTTTTGTTTCCCCTCCGTGTTATCTCCACATCAAATTCAGTACAACCAACATTCCATAGAGTGTGTACTACAAAACCAATTCATTTCCTTTACATCAGTTGTGTGGTTCCACCAGTAGCAGCAGCTGTCATTTGACTCCCTTATTATTATTTTTTTAATTCAAACAGGAATGTCAGTATGTTGGTATGCTTCTGTCAAAAGGGCTGTGGGTTCCCCACCACTGAGGGTAATGCAGCACAGAAACAAAAAAATGCCCCAGATCAGTACGTGACCAGCAAGGTTGTTTTGCTGACAAACCAATATACCTGCATGAAAAAAATTTGGAACAGGGGAAAGAGAAAGACACAAAAAGAGGAAGGGTTATGCCCTGATGCAGAGTGTAGATGAACATGACACATCTAATTTAACTTTAAAAATCCAGAGTGGAACCACTATCACAAAATTTATGCAACGTGACCGCCATGTGTGACTCTGCAGGAAGTAGAAAATGCAAGAAAATGGGGTAATTTCTCTCGTGTGACCATGGCCAGAGTCTTCTTTGCAATAAAGAATCTTGATTCTTCACCTCTTTCCTTACACTGTGAAGTTTTCACTAGTATTTTGTAGGTGGGCCCAGAATGCCCAGTGCATGTATCTCCAGTCCATGCCAAAATCAGGGCACTTGCCTTGAAACCAGCCAAGGGTATGTGTGTGAGTGTGCCGATGGATACACGGGCATGGATTGCAGAGAGAGTAAGTATGGAATTCCCAAGGCTATACACAGGTGAAGCTCAGTCATATGAATGTTTTCCTTGAGTTTGATTTAGGTGTACTTGTATTCAAAGCACTCTGGAGAGGAAGTTCATAAGAGCGACTTAAGTTATTCTATTGCTGGCCACCTCGTCTTGTTCTGAGAAGGCCTACCTCAGAATCTGACAAATATAGACTGGGAAGACTAGGTCGCAGTGTCACAAGTGACCTGTCAGGGCTTCCTACCCACAGTGTTTTGCTCAGAGAACCTCTTAGAACCAGACATTTGGATCCTGGCAAACTCTGGAAACCACATGCCTGCTATTTTGGCCAACATAGCTCTCTAGGGCAGAGGCAGAGTCCTCCTGACAGGTGACAGCCATGAGTAATGGGAAGGCCAATCCTGGAAGTTCATGTGGCATACGCACGTTCTCTACCAATATTATCCTGTCCAAGCTAGATATAACTGTGATAGAGACAAACTACAGGTAGCCAAATTTTTCACTATTACCCACTAGGAAAAAGTAAGTGGATTCAGGTGATTTTATTCCGGAAAATTGGCTTTCAGGAGACAGACAGACAGACAGACAGACAGACAAAAAGGAAGAGAGGGAGGAAGACCCCCTTCTCCAAAAACATCCATTTCAGGCTTAGTTTCACAGTTATTTGAGGGTATGTTTGCATAAAAACATTTCAAACACCGGTGGAAAACATTCATGCAACTTAGTGTCTCATGCTACTTGTTCCTAAAATGTGAGTTGTATAATCATTTACAATATTACAACAATATTTTCAGAGTTGTTTTCGATTATCTTTGGATGGGTGATGGAGTTTGGGTCCTTATGTCTTATGTTTCATGCTCGGAGACCACCCAGAGCAGTGGCATGCCACTAGATGGCCAATATAACAAACAAAGAAACATTTACATGCAATAATGATGACATCATAATACCACCAAAAGTAGTTTGTGGGTATATTTTAATAATTTAATCCCACTTGATTTAAACTACATATTTAACGATTTCTAATGAAGAGATCTGTGACAAGTGATGAGAAATCGGTAAAAAACTATTCACTGTACCAGTTGATATTGTAAAAGATTGCAGATTTGTGCTGCTTCTATTTCCAGTCCTTATTGTGTGCTGTCAAATCGATTCTGATTTATGGAGACCATTGTCTGGGTTTTCCAGGTAGAGTAGAACACTCAGAAGTGGCTTACCATTCCCTTCTTCTGGGGGTACCCTGGGACTCTGCAGCTTGTCCAAGGCCACACAGGCTTACCCTACTCACAGGAGAACTCCCAACCTCTGGCTCCACTGCCAGATGCCTAAACCACTGAGCTGCCCAACCAGCTTTGTGATGTTCACCACATTTAAATGATTGCATAAATCAGATACCATCAGAGGGGGCTGTATGAAACTTGGGTAATAGTTCCCAAACTTTATGCCCATTATTTATTATGTGTTGGTTTATTTGAGAATATTGAATACTGTTTATTGGAAAACATTTAACACCTCAAAACAGTTTAGAATAATAATAGCTCAAATAATAAAACAACTGTAAAACAGCAAAACCACTGAAATGATCCATTAAAAACAATGCATTAAGAACCAAGGATATGGAAGTCTTGCTTCAGGTGATTCCTTCCACAGAATATATAAAGAACCGAAACTGCCTTCCCAGCTGCCATTACATTGTTGGCACAGTACTCTTTCCCATGCTAATGCAGGCAGTTTAGTCAAGTGGCCCTTATTTTCCTGGACCAACCCCTGTCCTAGAATTCTTCCACAGTATTGGGGGAGCTACAATTTTTAGCTATCCTCTCGCTGCCTCTCCTGTTCTCTGTCTTCCTGATCCCACTGGACCCATTAGGCTTTCTGCACTCATCTTACCCCATGCTAGGAAACACTGGCACATGTCATTCTGCAAGAGGAGATGGGGAATGGGTTGAGTGTGAGGTATTGCTTTTAAAAGAAACAGCAAGGCTCATTAGAGTTGCTGAACAGAGCACAGATATGACCACAAGGGAGCCTTTGATAGATGGAGCTTGATGACTCCAGTGGGGAGCAGTGGCTGGTTTGTAATTTGCAGTCTCTTGGGTGTTAATTAAGGTAAATATCTGAGGTCATGAGAAAAAGGAGTAAAGGTTCTGTCACCACAACACTCTCAGCCAAACCTAATCCAAATCCCTCCCTACAGCAGCATGAACAGCACTGTGTTGGTTATTGGTGGGGGTTTTGAAGGCCTCAATAGCTGAGTATTTGCTGGCACAGATGAGCCTAATTAGCCTCCCCCCCCCCGTTCTCTTTGCCTTTTTTCACAGAGCTCTCGGAGGACTGTGAGTGTCGAAATGGGGGAAGGTGTCTGGATGGAAATGTTACCATATGTCAGTGCCCACCAGGATATTTTGGCCTTCTCTGTGAACTTGGTATGAATAATATTTTTTTTCTGATCTGTGTGAGTCTTTCATTATGTTCTTTTAACTTTTTCTATATGCATTTGATGTAGAAGGCTGTTGTCCATGAAAACCTAAACACAAATAGTCTGTCAACCTTTAAAACTCCCAGGCAGTAATGGTGATGATCAGTTGTGCATTCATCTCATAAATTATAATCAAACAGTGTGGTTGTATAATAGGATTGAGGGTCATTATTTTTGTTTGGGAGTAGATGTGCATTGATTTAATCTTGAAAACTCTGGTTTTCTGGTTCATAAATTAGCTTATACAATGGAGAAAACAGGAAGGTCTACTGGAACTTTCTACATGCCTTCTGGATATTAAAGTTTAGTAGGAGACTCCACTGTGGAATTCTCTGGTGACCAACTGTTTTTCATCTTTTATCCTCTTACTGTCTAAAGAATGTTAGCTAGAGAATTGATCCTGCTGATCCCTGAACTCAAAATGGGGAACAAGTGTCCTTCCAGATGCTCTTAGACCATAGTTCCCATCAGTCTTAGCCAGTGTAGCCAAAGGATGTAGAGTATGGGAGTTACAGTCCAACAACATTGGAAGATGATTAGTGACCCACTTCTAACCTAAATGGAAACTACTAAATGGTCTTTGTAAAGCTGCTGTGCATGGTACTGAGCTGTGTGATAGGGCATTACCATGTACATGTGTTTTTTTCCCCAACACAGAAGTGACTGCCACACCTTGCAATATGAACACCCAGTGTCCAGATGGAGGTTTCTGTATGGAGTATGACAGCAGTTACCTTTGTGTGTGCCATACGGATTATGGTGCTAATAACCACAGTAAGTAGGACAGGGAGCCCAGAAGAATCTGTGAGCGCTCTGTGTGTGAGGATCCCTAGTGGTGTGAAATACTAGTACTACTGACAAAAGCCAAATTCCCCTTTTCATCCTGTGAAATATAAATGGAGTTATACCACTAAGGAGAATGGAATGCAGATTGTGGAAAAGTGAGATGCCACTGATAGAATGTTTAGTTTGAATGCAAAGGTGTTAATGGATATGACAAGGAAACATAGAGACAGAATGTGTGAGGAATGTGATGGCCAGTGGAAGAATTTCCTTTTAAAGCATTTATCAGCTTTAGAGGAGGGTTTTTCTCAGGGCTGTAGCAGGGAAGAAAAGAGTGAAAATCATTTCACATACATTGCCATTCCCACAGTTTTCTGCCCCATCTTCTGACTTGCCATGGCTAAATGCTTTTAAAGGATCTGTAGCACATTAAACATCATGTCTGGTTTGGGCCTTATGTGCTCTAAGAATGCTGTTATTGAAGGAACTGTGTAGTTGTAATGCATTTGGCTGAAAGCATATCTTGTATAGAACAGGTATCTCGTGTCATTTAATCGAGCTCCTTTTCATGGGGCAGGTGGGGTTTTCATTTAGCATCAGCCCATGTGAAGCCATGTCTGCTTTTGCAGCTGAGCCTCCCTCTCCCTGTGACTCGGAGCCTTGCCTGAATGGTGGATCCTGTGAAGCTCACGATGACTCCTACACCTGTGAATGTACCCGAAACTTCATTGGCAGGCACTGTGAGAAAGGTATTTGACACCATTTAGTTGCATTCCTAATGCCATACAGTACTTCTTCAGTGAAATTGGGAGACACCATTTTTCCCCCTTTAAGTCCAGGTTGAGAGAACTAAGCAGAGGTGATGTTGTACTTCTTCATTTCTCTCATAGGGCTAATGTTGGCAGCTGCTAATCCAGTCAGCTTCTGGTTGTAGATTAGAGAAGGGAAGAGTGTTATCTTCTACTTTGAGCCAGGCGGTAACGTTTCTTGTAGTCAGCTGTGACCTTTCAGATGCTTTTGGACCACAGAGTCTCTCATCATTTGTTGTCCTGTCCTGCTTTCCACAGTGACCAGACGGATGCTTCCAGAGAACGTGCAAACAAGACATCAAGGCAACAGACCTCAGTTGCTAGTCCTGAATCTTCAGTAGCTAGAATTCAGTAGCATCCTATCTCCAAATCTGGGTCACATCATTTTTATGAATAATAGCCAGTGATCAACAAATTCTCTTTTAAAATTCTCCATGCAAGGGTGATTTCCATATTGCCTTGCAGCATATTCAGCAGAATTTATTAGGCTTCTGTGAAGAAAGAGAAGCAGAGCTACAAGTCAGGTTGGCTGGGGGATTCTGGGAAGTTTCATGCAGAAAATAATTTTTCTAGGCTTCAAGAACAGATACAGTAGGATGGAGGTATCCACAAGGGATCAGTTCCACCCCCCCACCTCACACACACACCCCGCAGATGTAGAAAAATGTGGAAGTATGGGACACAATACATTGCGTATTCTCTGGCTCCTTTTAGTGGCCATTTCTGTTAAATTCACCCTGGAAATACATTTCTAGCAGCTTTTATTTAGCATTTTCAGCCAGCAAATAAGTGAATCAGCGGATGCTGATCCCACACATAGGGATGTGTTACTATACTCCTCTTTCTCCTGAATGTACCGTAATCCATTTCTTAACTTTAGTTACTGTTTAGTATAACTTAAAGAGACTAAAGGAGCTATGAGTGGCACTCTTCCATCCATCTAGTTCTGTGGCTTCCCTTCAAAGGGCTCATAACAAGTATCAATGTTTTTCTCTTTCCAGCAAGGCCAAAGCTGTGCAGTTCTGGGCCCTGCCGTAATGGAGGAACCTGTAAGGAATCAGATGGTGAATACCACTGCACCTGCCCCTACCGGTTCACAGGAAAGCACTGTGAGATAGGTACCCCCTGCATATTTTACAGCAATTGAAGCTAAGCACTGTGTCTTGAGATTGTTCACTATATAACCTGCATCTATTGTTCTTCAAGGTAAACCTGATCCCTGTGCCTCAGGACCCTGTCAAAATGGCGGCACTTGTTTCCACTATATTGGAAAATACAAATGTGACTGCCTCCCAGGATATGTTGGACGGCATTGTGAGATAGGTATGGAGTGAGAGGAGTCTTCGTCAAGAGTTCATTTCAATTTAAGAATAACTGGAGGTCTGAAGTTCCTTCACCCCTTCTCTACCCCTTTGAACATTGTCAAGAGGTCTGAGATTTTCTCCAAGGCTAAGATGTAGGCCCAAATCCTGTTAGTTTTTATGTAAGATTTGAATAACTTCCTAAAGCTAATTATATCCAATTGGCAGCTTGCATTTTATCTGTGCAGTTGAGTATACAACATGCTATACAACTCAGATGCTTGTAGTTACAAACAGCCACAGCAAGCTACATGAATGCCAGTAGGATTCTGGTCAATGATGTTAAAGTTGTGTTTGCTTTCCACTTAAGAGGTTTAAAAAGAAAGTCTGATGCAAGACGTGATCAAAAATGCACACTTAGGATTTGGATCTATTCTAAGCAGCAACCAGAAGCACTGCTTAGTCATCAAGGTCCAACCAAGCTTAAATGCATAGTGTTCTTAATGTGGATGACTTAAAATGGCTGAAAATGGGGTATGTTCTAATAACATGTAAGATGTCTTTATAAGTCTGCTAACAATACTAAATGAAACAAATTTTCTATGGCGGGGGGATGTTTCTGCAGCTCCTTCTCCTTGTCACCTGCAACCTTGTGAAAACGGAGCCACTTGTGAGGATCTTGGTAACAGCTATGTCTGCACATGCCCAGTTGGTTACACAGGAAGGCACTGCCAATCAGGTAAAAATATAAAAAGTTAGTACATCGTAAACCAAAGACTTTTCCTTATCATTTGACATTCTCTCCAGTATGCTTCCCTATGTTTTATTTCCCTTGGCAAGTAGCTATGAAGCAACCAGTCAATTCACAGCACCGAGTTTTCCCAGCAACAGACTCTTACAGCACTACAGTGGTGCCTCACATTACGACGTTAATTTGTTCCAGCGAAATCGCTGTAGAACGAAAACGTCGTTATACGAAAATAAAAAGCCCATTGAAACGCATTGAAACTCCTTCAATGCATTCCAATGGGCTGGAAACTCCCCGTCCAGCAAAGATCCTCCATAGGGCGGCCATTTTCGGTGCCTGTGCAGCGAGGAATCCATCCCAGAAAACAGCGGGGAGCCATTTTATTTACCTGGAGGCCATTTTGAAACCGCCGATCAGCTGGGAACCGATCATCACAAAGCGAAAAACCCCTATTCAGACCATCGTTTTGCGATCACAGTTGCAATCGCAAAAAGATCATCGTAATGTGGTTTTGTCGTAATGCGGGGCAATCATAAAGTGGGGCATGACTGTATATGACTTAATTGTTGCTTCCCTGTGTACCACTTTCTCACATCTTTGCTCTGGTCTTCTCCCTGAGTAAGCCTTCAGGGGTTGTACTGGAATTGTACTGAGGGTGCTGCCTTTGAAAGGGTTGGTTTCTAGTTATCAGCATGCAAAGAGAATTGAGGTACTCACCCATAAGCACATACAAACAATTCTGCTTGATTAGATACCATATCTTCTGCCTTAGGCTTACCCCATTGTTGCTGTTTTTCTCTCTCTCTCTACACATGCATCCTGGGGATGCCCACTGTGGTGTAGTAAAAAGAGTGTCAGACTAGGACTCCGGAGGCCTGGGACCAAGTACCCACTGTGGTGTAGTGAACAGAGTGACAGACTAGGACTCCGGAGGCCTGGGACCAAGGATCCTCAGTTGGTCTACCCCACTCATGCTATAACTCAGGAACTGAGACAGAACATGATCATCAGGTGTTGGGGGAGGAGAGAGACTTAATCCTCTTCTAGACACTTCCCTAAATCCTGCACCCACTGTGGGAATTTTTTCAAGGCTCAAAAAAAAAAAAGAAAGAAAGAAAGAAAAATTTTTTCAAGGCTCCAAAAAAAGAAAAGAAAAAACACTTTTAAAAAAATCCCATTAGGAATGGGAGTACAAGGAGCAAGCTCTGCAGGGAAGCTGATTTTCCATACAGCATGTATACATATTCTTGAGTAAAATAAACCCCAGTTGTTCCACTGACTTGCAGCATGCTGTTTCTGCCAGTAAACCCAAAGCTCCCCAGTGGCTACCCCATTGTTGTTTTCTCTGCCTGTCAAAGCTTGTGGTGGAGGAGGGGGAGAAAAAACACACAAGGGCAGAAAGTCAATTTTTAAAAAAATACAAAGACAGGGATTTGCTGTAGGAAGCTCCAGGGGCAAGAAAACAAGGAAAGATGGATGAGATGAAAGCAACAAAAGAGGATGGACTGTGAGTCTATTGTTGTCCACACTCCCATTTCAGCTATTTTTGGTGGGCCATTTTATTGTTAATGATTAGGACACTAATTATTAGTGAGAGCAGTTCCTCTTAAAGCAGTCTCTTGCTGCTTGTCTGCTCTGAGATGGGGATTCACCTGGAAACTGGCAGAGATCCACCTAGAAAATGGCTCCTCCAGAAATAAAAGATCAGTGACTATCCCACAATGTTGGGTAATTACATCCAATAAAAAGCATAGTAAAAAGCTCTTCACCCAATGGTGAGTGAAATGAGAGATAACAATTTGGGTCAGGACTAGGTATCTCTCTTCTCTCTCTGACAGTGCCTCACTTCCCCACTATTCATTTATATCACAACTAACCTGAGGAACGTACCTTCTCCTTCCCTATTAGAAATGTTCCTGCCTGCTACTGTTTCCCTCTGTGCCTGGTTTCAAAGCTGTATAAGCTAGTAATAATATAGTGAATGAAAGCACTTTAGTTGCTGTGATCAAATAATATTGTTGAACATAGAAACTACAGTGGTGCCTCGCATAGCGAGGTTAATCCGTTCCGGATTAACCCTCGCTATGTGAAAACATCGCTGTACGGAACGGGGAAAGCCATTGTGGTGGCTGTAGTCCCTCTGTGCCAAAATATTGTGAAGGACTGCTTTGGAATGAAATGGTGAAGCAAAGTAAGTGCAACACATACGGTGAAGAAATATACAGTGGTGCCTTGCATAGCGAGGTTAATTTGTTCTGGATTAACCCTCGCTATGTGAAAACATCGCTGTACAGAATGGGGAAAGCCATTGGAACACATTAAACTTAGTTTAATGCGTGCCCATAGGCTCCAAAACTCACCGTTCAGCGAAGTTTGTCCATAGCCGGCACCCATTTTCGCGCCCTCGGTAAGCGAAGGGAGGGCGTGAAAACGCTGCGCGTGGCCATTTTGGGGCTTCCGGCGGCCATTTTGGAGCCGCCGAACAGCTGATCTGCGGCATCGCTTTGCGAAGATCGGTAAGCGAAACGCTTAACGATCATCGCAAAGCGATTTTCGGCCATAGGGGCCATCGGTATGCGATCGCATTTGTGATCGCTGAAACCTCCTCGCTGTGCGGATTCGTCGTTCTATGGTGCGCTCGTTAAGCGAGGCACCACTGTAATGTGTTTTCATTCACAGTATTCATCGCTAGTTTACACAATATCTCCATGAATTTCTTTTCTTTCTAGTGAATGGTTATAAAACTGGGCCGTTGGCTTCTTCAGTCATATTCATTTGCTCATGTTTTTCCTCTCCACACCATAGGCATTCACCCAGTCACACAGAGTATTATGAGCCTGGAAGTTCAGGAGAGAGGGGGGCACAGGTGGGGCAATGGCTCCTTGCTTCTAATAAGTAGGCAGGCCAGGAAGAGGTTGGCTAAAGGTAGCCAAAGCCATTGCCCGAATGACCAGCCTCCACAGAGTTGTAGCTATCCATGTTAATGTTCCAGAGTTCAACAAAGAACGTCATCCCTTTAGTAAGCATGCTTTATGTTTTGGTATCAGTACTTGCCCTGACACAATCATAATTTTTTAATTTAATAAT